GAGAGGCTTGTGCAGGAACTGCTGGGACATGGCCAGGAGGATGAGAAAGGAGATGGGTCCAGACAGGAAAATGGCACTAGGGCAGGGAGGGGTGACACTGGTGTGTGTGGATTCCTTTTGATAAGCTGCTTAGCGGGGTGGGAGATGGGGGTAGGAGAGGGAAGCACAGGGCAGTGGAGAGCGGGGCTGGGGTGGGCTGGGAAGGGGGTGCCTGGGGTTCATTATTCATCACTGCTGTGGAGTCACAGCTGCAGCAATTAGGAGGAAGAAACTGATTTTGTGTGGAAGTGTTGTCTTAAATCTTTATCAAATGGCTCCAAATATGGTGTTGGGTCTAATTACCAAATGCAATGGTGCTTACATTAAATAACAGTCCATAATGGCTGCAGCTGCCCTCTGCTTGTGCTACACATCAGTTGTGTATTGCCTCTCATTCTGTGAGGCTTGTAAGCTGCTAGAGGTGAGATGTGTTTGGGTTTGTGATGGCTGGTCCATATAGCTTGAATCTGTATCCATCACATATCAGAGTCGAGCCAGAGTGTGACGCTATGGGAAGAGTTTTCTGCTGTACTTTTGTTACCTCCTTGTGGGAAGTTTGAAGATCAGTACATTTTAATGCAGTTGACTGTTACTGGACACAAAAGCAAGAAAGATCTAACAAAAGCTCTCTCCGGTGTTTTCTGAGGGCTAATTCTGGCAGGGCTGGATCCGAGGTGCTTCTCACAGCATTTGCAATGTGCCCACCCCTCCTTTCTGCTCTGTACGTTAAGCTAATGTATAGCAACAGCCATATTGCAATGCCTGTAAATTCCTCAAGGCACCTCCCCTGCCCTGGGTGGCACTGGCCTTTGCCGGTGCCCGTTTCTTCCCTCTGCCTGTGTGAGAGGAAAACTGTTGCATCAATAGCCTCTGCTGCTGCCTGTCGCTCCTGGTTCCCCTCTCGTCCTACATGTGTGCTTGCAGCCTTGCTGTGGAAAGGCCAAAAGCTGCCAGTTGTAGCTGTTACAGGCATCAGGCATCCGATCAAAGTCTGAACAGGTAAGATGGTAGAGTAACAGCTTCAAAAGTTGGGGGGGGGAAACACCCAAACCATTCCAGAAAGGAGATGGCAGCCTGAGAGCAAGGCTCTTCAGTTACTTTACAGGATCATTCAACAGGACAACCTGCCCTTTAAACTTCCGCAAGTCAGTGTCGTACAAAGACTGAACCCTTAAGGACACATTGGGGTGGGGTTTTTTTTTTTGAGGTAACCTGCCTTTTCCTTGTGCACCAGCACACTCCTTGTGGCACCGAGTAAGCAGAAACACACTTGCTCTTGGTCGCTCTGAAAAGCTTATCACACTAGATAGTGCTCATAGTGTTACTTTGATTCCTTAAATTACTGGAAGCAACTTACATTAGTGACTTAAATCCTAGGAACAGCAAATAGCTTAATCTGAAAGCAGCCCAGATTGGAAGCTGTTGTATGCTCCACAGAAGAGGTTGAAGAAAAGCAAGCCTGATATTATTTTCATTTATTCTACAGGCATCTGCAAAGCAGTTTATTACAGCCACTTATTTTAAACCAAATATTTTATCATGAGATAATCACTTTATTACAGGGAAATATTCCTAAGCATGTAAGTGATGTATTGGATAGCCTATGATCATCCTCAGTTGATACTCATCTTGGCAAAAAGCAAGCTGCTTCTCATTAAAAGCTGCTGTCAGATGTGTAGATAACTTGATCCAGCTGAAGTCAGGTAAGTCCATACCCATCTTCAGTGTAATTCCTACCTGGATGGAGTTTGCGCTCAGTCCTACTGCTGGCCAGTGTGCCTCAAGGGTAGCTGCCATAGGGCTAAACCACAGTTGGTATAAAATACCTTGACTTCCCATAGATGTGCCAGTTTGACCCACCAAATGTAATAGGTTAATATATTCTGGAGGTAGTCTGCTAACAGTCACATGGGGTGGAAGGTAATTATTTCTGATTGCCTACTGTCTGGGCAAAGCAGGAGAGTGATAATGCTAAATCTTCAAATGTGGAACAAGATTTATCAAAGCCAGTAAATTGTCCTCCTGCCCGAGAGTGAAAGGACTAACAAAGCTTGAACTGCAGCAAGGGAGACTTTGATCAGCAAAAAGCAACAGGAGCTTCTAGAATCTGTACCCTACCATAATTAAATGCATTAATAAATCTTTTTAAGAGCAGGACTAGACAAAGCGTGGACCATTTCAGTTCCTAGCTGGTCCTGCCATGGCAAAATAGGATCAGGAGCTCCTGTTATGCCACCCATGTGCCCACTTCTTGCAACACCATATAGGATGGGTACTAGTACCTGAATAATGAGTAAATTTTGAATCTTGCATTTCACTAACGCCTTTCCTTTGTAGGATTACACAATTTAACAGTACCTTGTAGTTACAGAAGGAAAACTTGCTTAAATGTAGCAGTTCCCATCAATGGCTGCGGCCCAGGGATATTAGAAAGATGACAATATATTTCATTTACTGTAAGACGACTTCTGGTGCTCTCCCTGTTTGAGGTTACCTTCTTGTTCATTGCCCCTCCCCTGGTCTGCCAATTCTCATAAAATACTGATTTTGTTTTTTTTAGAACAAAGGCAAAATACAATTTAAATATTTACACCCTACTTCTGCTGAGCACTGTGATGGTCCTCTGGGCTGCTCCTGGAGTAGGAAAGAAACTGAACTGGTTATACCTTGGGGATTTGTTTTAACCAAGCAATGTTTGCATCCATTTAACTGGCAGCAGCCTTGAGTTCTGCCTTCTAAATACAGTGTGTGACAGTTTGTATTCTAAGGTTCACTGAAAATTTTACATGTTTAATTGAACATGAATCCAACCAAACACAGTAATGCTTGACAAGAGAATTCATTTGACTTCATCAGCATTTTCAGGTTAACCAAACTTTGTGCTCATGTATAATTATGGCAGTAGATGGAGGTTTTAGCTGTTGGATTTGGTCAGTACTGGTTTTTGATCACTGTAGTGAGTATTCTGTCTAAAATGATCAAGCAGTGAAATAAACACACTGGCATGTCTGTAAAGCTCACACCTTGCAGATCTTTTCTCAAGCTGCCTGGTCCTGAGAATTTTACAGGTGTTGGCAGCATTATCACAATTGCAAATAATGGCAGTTGAGAACACAGATTTGGGAACAGAGCTTTAGCTGGTGCAGTGATCACTAACATTCTTATGTAAAAGTGGCTTTGTTTGGGTAAAATTAAAAATATCTAACTGGAGATAAAATTGCTCTTTACATCTCCCTGATGACTGGAGAAAGGCAAATGTTGCACCCATCTTCAAAAAAGGCAAAAAGAACCATCTGAGGAACTGTAGGCCTCACAGTGTCACTTTGGTCACTGGGAAAACTATGAAGGAAGTCACCTCAGGACTTAGGTTTGGGTACATGCAGGAGAGGGTGATTGGGAACAGTCAGCATGGATTTACTGAGGGTAAATGGTGCCTGACTCGCCTGCCTTCTACTTTGTGGGCAAGGGAAGGAGCAGTGGATGTCCATCTCAACTTTAGCAAGGCTTTCAATGCTGTTACAGCCTAGGTAGTTGGACAACCACGTGGGCAGAAAAAGCGGTCAGATGTTCAGGCTCAGCATCATGGTCAATGGGCTAGACAGTGCCTGGAGTGGGGGGACATGGGGGCCTGGCCTGCAGCCTTCCTGAGGCAGCAGCGGGGTGCCCTGCCAGTGGGTTTGTGGATGACACTGAACTGGGAGGACCAGTGCCTATGCTTGGGGCAGGGTGGCTGCCCAGAGGGGCTGAGACGGGTGGGGCAGGAGCCTGATGCAGTTCCACAAGGAGAAAGGCAGAGCCCTGCGCTGCCAGGGCAGAAGCCCTCACTGTGAGGGGTCGGGGGGCAGCTCAGGTGCCTCTGGGCCCAGGCAGGCATAAACACTGAGCAGAAGCCAGAACAGGCCCACAGCCTGCAGGAGAGGGGAGGGCAGTCCCCTCCTCTCAGCACACCGTAGGCCTCATCTTGACTCTTGCCTGCAGTTCTGGGTCCCCTATCCATCCCCCTGCAAAAGGAGGATGGCTGCCAAACCAGAGCAAGTCCAGCAGAGGGCTGACCAGAGGGCCTGGGGCCAGAGCAGCTGACAGGGCTGCAAGGCTGAGGGACAGGGCTTGTTCAGCCAGGAGAGGGGAGGGCTTTGGGGAGACCAACATCAGCCAGCCAGTGCCTACCAGAAGTCATCAGGAAAATGAAGCCAGGCTTTTGACAGCAGTGCATGAGCAGGAAGATGAGACGCAACAGGCAGAAGCCAAACAGAGGTTATGCTTTTTCACTGTGGGAGCAGTCAAGCATTGGTAGCACAGAAAGGCTGCACAGTCTCTGTCCTTGGAGGTTTTCAAGACCACACTGAAGAAACACCTTTCCAAGAAACACAGTCTGACTTCACAGCAAGAAGTTGGACTGGTGAGCTCCAGGGGTCTTTTAGCAGGAACGATCCTGTAACCCTATGACACAGACTAAGACCAGCAACAGGTAGCTGAACAGCAGCAGGACCTGCTATCCCACCTTCAGTTACCAGATAGCTACTGTGCTCTGGTTCCATCCTTTATCGGACTGTATGAGGCACAAAGAAACGTGTGCATGTGTTTAGAAAGCAGTGCTGTTCTGAAGGAATTCTGTGACCCAGCAAGCAATGAAGCGTCAGGGTCCAAAGGTGTGTCCTGCAGAAGGTGACTGTGAGAACAAGTTTTTCCTGAGAAGTGAATAGGACCTGGAAAGCTCAGAAAAAGGCAGGAGGAGAAAAGACCTCAGAAGAGGCCAAGAGGAGTATTACAACTCTTGTTCACACGTATTAAAATTAAACTGGGTTTCTCAAGAAACCATGGCAGGTGTCCTCATGTTCTCCTTCAGCTGGTAGAGAAACCAGTACGCATGCAGAAAATGGTTGTCCAACAGCTGTTCTGCATTAACATGCAGGAAGTTACTAAAGAGTCAGGAGAATGCAGGTAATTCCTTAAGTTGTTTATTTATCATTGAAGAAACACACAGCAGCAAGTTCTGCATTGGCTTCAGTATGACCAGATAGTTAATCCTTGTTACCGCACCCCAAAACTGAAGTCAACACAGCCATTATGACAAATCACTTTTTTTGGAAAGGGAAAGAATTGACCCTGAAGACAAAGAATTGGGGGAAAATTCAGCAATTTCTCCAAAACCACACATTGTAAATATGACAATATTTATAAATCCTTGGAAGGCATGAATTATTCAGTAATGGAAAAAGCAGTTGTGATATTGGCAACAGAAAATACATAGCCATATGCTTACCAAAACACTTAAATTGTAAAAGCTTGAAGTTTTGTGGTTGTACACTGCAGCAGCATACGTTACTGGAACAATAACTGCAAAATGGCCTCGTAGGTGTTAGGTATTCAAGTAAATCTACAGAAAATATCCCAGTGTAGCTAATGCTTATAGTTATTACTCATAGTACTTAAATTTAAACAACTTACTGAATTTAGATAGTGATAAAATACATCTCTCAAAAACCGCCTGCCCTCAAAGATACCTATGTAAAAGAGGGCTTTTATATTTTTTCTAATTTTTCTTTTTGGCTAATTAAGAAAACCGATTTAGCTCTGCTTTTTCAGTAATTCCACTGTGTGAACAGGGGTGTTTTTAAATGCATGTTCTGTGGCAATAATACCCCATTCCAAATTAAGAAAGACTAAAAATAAAAAGGCCAGCCTGTTTTGGTGCGAGATAGAAGCATTACTCAAGACAACTGTTGGGCTTGCTTCTTTTTATTTTAGCAACAAATGACCCATGAAATAAGCATCATTTGAAATTTCAAAACCTGGCATTCAATTTCCAACCTTCTGCTGTGAGTTTTGTGCATGATCAATCTATATGAGTAAGTAATTCAAGCTCATGCTTTCATGTTACCTCAAAACATTTGTTAAAGAATTCCAATTCAGAATGTTTATAAGCACAAATATAATCCATGGACTCGATCAAAACAAAGCTAAAACATTGGTTAAACTCTCTGATTTCCACTTAACGTCGTACAGTGGTCCACCCTTCTTCATCTGTCTCATTCTTAGTACGGCGAAGGGGCTCACGCTCCTTTTCTGTTTTCCAGGAACCTTTCTCCTTCTCCCCATCTCTTTCTCGATCTTTTGATGCTGGTGGGGGAGCGGAAGCTGGAGGAGCAGCAGCAGCAGCTGATCGCCGAACTGTTTCACGTTCTTCTCCACGGTCTTCCCTCCTATCATCAGCACGCCGCCATGAGCTTGCTACAAATACAGAAAGACAATAAAACAACCTTTGTCATGCTCCACCAGCAGCCCGCAAGAGTTTAAACAAATATGCCCGGCACCAACAGTCTAATTTACTGATTCTCAATCTTGCCAAGAGGTAATATGGTGATGACAGCCAAACACACAGTTTAATTTTATAGTGAACTAATGGACAGGAGCTACTCAAGCCTCTTTTCAGATGCAGGATTGTTGTGAGCAACTCAGGTGTCACCTTTAAAACACAATAACCACAATAAGAACATTCTATTGATGTACGTGGTTTTATGATACAAAAATATATTCTTGTATTATTATCAGAATTAAAAGCGCAAAAGCATCTCCTTAGAAATGACTGAACCCTGAAAACAGAAAAATCCTAACTTAAAAACACTTATGGAAAATGTTTAGGTGTTCATTGTTTCAAAAGACAGCAAATTACTTTCAGGCCTACTGAAATCAGAGGTATAAATGGCACTGGATTACAAGACTCCACTGGTAACTGCAGTCACCATCCTTTACTATACAAAAAATTGTTCATCCCCACCAGAAGCATGCTAAGAATTCTACTCCAGCGATGCGTGAAGAAAGCTGTGTCAAATACCAAACCAGACAGTCAAATACTAAAACTCATTGATGAATTAAAACCAATAAATCTCCGCACTGAGAACTCCCAGCCTTTCCGCCAAGTGAAGTCCCGTATGACATGTTCTGTTCCAGTCTGCTCCCCGAGACCACCTGCCTGCCGGCACCCTCCTGTGTTCAGGGAGCGCCCGCACTCAGGGCAGAGACCACACGAGATTCTGAATGCGAGAACGCCAGAACTGGAAGATGTGGTCTCAGGCTAAATGTATTTGCTGTTACTGTAGTTTTAGAACACAGCAAAAGGATGAATAAATGTACATAATTAAAACAGGTGAATGTATGTAATTAAAATAGGTTATTCATCAAAATCAATACCATTAACAGTGTGAAACCCACAAGACCTCGTTTGGAAAGATTTCCCTCACATTTTATTGGTTTTAAGAAATGAGCCAAAATTACTTTCTGGGAAGTCTATCTCGATAATTTAAGTACAAGAATTTCATTCACCCTGAACATAATCCTACTATGAAAACTGCATACTTAACAATGTTATCCTTCTACTGCAGATGCTACTATGATAGAAAAAAGTACAACTAAAAAAAGTTAAGACTCAAGGGAAAATTCTCAAGTACACCAAAGCTTCTTTCTATTACTTTGCATACGCAAAGGGAGTTTAAGTGGCTGAAAATGTAACATCCCCATTTTACTGCATCCTAGCACTGTTAGAGTTACACAAAGGCCCTATAATAAATGTAAGCCTTTAGGAACACTGAAATAAACATACGTTCTTCACGGTCAGATCTGAGTGGTGGTCCTCTTCTGAGGGGTGGGTCTCTGTCATCAGCACGTCGATCTCTCATGTCACGACCACCTCTGTCCCATTCTTCACGACGACTTGAATCCCTCCAGCTAGAATTTTCCTCAGCTGGTCCTCTTCTCCAACCAGCGTCATCCCTTTTGCCATTCAAAACATAAAGTAAGATTAAATGTTAAAGATTGTACCTTCGCTATGGAAAGAAGCAATAATAAATCACAACGCAGATATTTTCAGGCCCAATGAGTCTCTATTTAACATACTGGCATCATGCTTCAAAAACCTTTTCTGTTCTTCTGGAGCCTAACATGAAATTCTCTTGGTAACAGGTTAAAAAAAAAATTAAAGCAGTGAAGCATTTTGGGATTCCTTCTGTAAACAGTTAATGTCATCTTAAAAACAATGAACCAAAAAGCTCCTAAAATGCTAACCTAAAGTGGTTAATTTCATACAAACCTACCACTGTTCCTTTCACTAGGTGATGTCACATTATTTCTTTATCAGCAAGGCATTTATTTTTTTTTGTTAACAGAAATGTTCTAGAAGTATTTAAATAGAGAAGTCAAACCTGGGACGCCTGAAACGATCGTCTCGATCAAAATCTCTCTCTCTGTCAAATTCACGGTCTTTCTCATTTTCATCACGATCTTTGTCTCTATCCCATTCACGGTCTCCTGGAGGTCTTGAGTCTCGGGGAGGCCCCCAGCTGTCCTCACGAGCCTTTTCTCTTTCTCTCCATCCCCCTGTAAGTAAGAAACACAGTCAAAGGAATTTGTGGCTGACCTCCGATCTCTCTGTAGAGAAAGAATCCTTTACTTCCTTCACAGAAACTCGTTCTTCGAGTTTTGCTCCCTGAGGATCCAACTCATGCTTGTAAAAAGCATGCACACTGAGTGGGAGCCATAGACTGCTTAATATAAAGACAGTAATATATAAGTCATCCATCAGGACTGCCTGTAACAAAAGGTTAGCAAAGCTGATTGCACCCTGCATTTTTCAGCCAGAAACCATGAACTCCTCAAGGGTCTTGTGCAAAACAAGTGCAGGAAGACAGCAGATTCCTTCATGAAAATCTACAAGTGAGATTTTAGGCAAGCGAAGTTTTAAAGAACTCACTGCTTTTTAAAGCACTATCATTTTCCATCCACTTGCACAGTGCATCCTGCAATAGTGTGCAGTTATTTATGAATGGGAGTTCTTTATTATGCAGCCTGCTTTTTCTTTAAATAGGAAAATGAGAAAGCTTTTGGAGTGCAAGTATTGAGATTTATGATAACTTTTCTACGGGTTTGGATTACAGAATTAGTATAGTTGATGTGGCGCCTGTGAATACATAAATCTCAATAAAAAGAACCAGGAAATCAAAAACAAATCTAACATCTAAATGTCATCAACAGTTCTGAAAATAATCAGAAACAGTTGTAGTAGTCACCATCAACAAGACTTAAGATTAGATATAAACTTTAAAAGAATAGGGTAATTCAGATTTTAAAGGGACCTCAGAAGGTCATCTAGTCCAAACTCCAGCTCAAAGCAGGATTTTCAAGACAGACGCAAAAGCAAAAAAGGAATGGCAAAACCAGGAATATCTCAAAAAAAGCTTATAAAAACCAGAGCAATCGGCATTACTATGTGACTTTTAGCTATCTTCCAGGCAAGCAATAAACACTGCTGCATTTTTTTTTTTTTTTTAATTCAACCAAATTTGAAGGTTGAATTATACTAAAGGAGTGTCCGCATTAACCAGAGTAATCCAGACATTTTCAGAGTTGATTCTTCCATCTCTGGCACCAAGTACACTACATCCATTACCTACTAAGTTAACACATGCTTTGGAAGGAAGATTATCATATTACTGTGTTTTACCTGGTTTACCAAATGGTCTCCAAGGACCTGGCCTTGAATCATCACTGCTACGCCACGGACCCCTGTCATCATCTCGTCTGGAGAGCCTGTCATCATCTGTGCTACGCCACGGTCCCCTGTCATCATCACGCCTTGACATCCTTTCGTCATCCATCCCACGCCTGGGTCCTCTGTCATCATCCATCCCTCGTCTGGGACCCCTGTCGTCATCTGCAGCACGCCAGCTGCCCCGGTCGTCATCCAGCCCACGTCTGGGCGGCCTGTCATCATCCAAAGCCCGTCTGGGTGGCCTGTCATCATCCATTCCACGCCTGGGTCCTCTGTCGTCATCTGCTGCACGCCAACTGCCTCTGTCATCATCCAAGCCACGCCTGGGTGGTCTGTCATCATCCAAGCCACGCCTGGGTGGCCTGTCATCATCCAAGCCACGCCTGGGTGGCCTGTCATCATCCAAGCCACGCCTGGGACCCCTGTCATCATCTGCAGCCCGCCAGCTCCCTCTATCATCATCCAAACCACGCCTGGGCGGCCTGTCCTCATCCAGTCCACGTCTGGGTGGCCTGTCCTCATCCCCTTCACGCCTAGGTGGCCTGTCTTCATCCCCTTCACGCCTAGGTGGCCTGTCCTCTGTTGTTTCCACAGAAGGACGCTCCTTTTCTTCTGCAGCACTACGTCGGGGCATATCATCCCCTCGTCGGAAAGGTCTTTCATCATCTCTTGCTTCTCCTCGACGCCAATCTCTATAAAACCATAGGGAAATGAGCAAAAAGTAGAAGCTGATATCCAGGAAAGCTTTACATATTAAACAGTATTGATCAACAGTATCAAACCCCTCAAGGCCATTTCTGAATGTATCCACTTGATGTGTGGTTGCAAACACATTTACAGAGCTTGCCGTTTTCAAATGCACATGTTCCAGTTGCCTTCATTGCTATGGGAACGTCACCATCCCTACAGCTTCAGTGAAGACTGAACAGTTTATTATCTCCTTCAAACCTACAGTCTGAAGAGGATAACTATAGTCCCCTGTTGGTTATCTGCCGCAACACAACAGAGGAGAGGTTTGGCTTCTACACCAAGCCTAATCTGACAAACTTGAGCTAAGTCTCAAAGAACCAGTATTAAAAAAAATTCACAACCATCAAGTAGGTATCCCCCTTCTTCACACATATGCCAACACTACAGTCCAGTCCCTGTTTTCATATGTTTTGGCATGGTTCCAGCCGAACAGATTTGCAGTACTTTCACTGACAGCATCCACAACTAGATACGGCAAGACAACGCAGTAAACTCATGACTCAATCCACTGGTATTCCCTGATGGCAAGCAGGGCACGCCAGGCTCTGGCAGGCTATGAGTGCTTGCACAGACTCTCCTTACTAGTATGTATGTGGGAAGTAAAGAATTGGTGAGAATTTTCCCTGGGCTACTGAGTCATCAGTTCATCCCTGAAATACATTTGGATTTGTAACACTGAAAAGATCAGACACTGCTGAACAACGGTTAGAGCCTTCCACTCTTGTCACTTCTCCCGACACACCATTTAGTTTAATGTCTACACTTATTTTACACTTATATTTAGACCATAAACCTTGGCTTTGTCACCAGATTAATTTCTTTATTTCAGGAAATTAACCTTCCTAAGCTAGTTCCTCAGCAATAAAAAGAAACAAGCTCTATGTCATAGAGATGTACTGGTACCTGCTTCTTGGCAAGAGAAGAGAAACTGCACTGGAGCTGAATCTCATGGATTGAAAAAAAAACCCAACCAAAACAAAAAAACCAAATCAAAACCAAACCAAAACACCCCCACAGATTTAGAAATGTACTATGCTACTAAAATGTAAACAAAAGAACAGCAAGGACTTGTAGGACTCCAAGCAGTGAGAACAAAGACGTAACAGTTTGTGACAACTCTAGAGCATCTCAAGATTTTTGAGGTATTGTGAGCAGTGTATTTCCTAGTTTTGGAAGAATAAGGGAAAATGCAATTACCATTGAGCTGTGAGAGAAAAACAAGATATGGAGATTGTTAACTTCCATTTAGACTCAAATTGGATAATCTCCTTCAAAAAATCTGATTATTTTGATGTAAGAAAACATGTAGGGAGATGGTTATAAAGTTCATTAAATGAACTAGTATTTAATTCATTCATACCTAAGTACTGTTTCAGGGTTTTAAGACTTTAAAATCTGTTTTTTGACCTATTACTTTTAAACTATTACTAGTCTAACTTTTAAACTATTACTTGCAGATGGAATTATTCCTCTGTTGTTTTTACATTTTTTCCCATTTGACAACTTTAGCATTCACATTTCAGCTTTTGTCCTTCTCTCCCTCTTAGAAATCCTAACTCCCACTTTAAAAGTTTACCGCAATTAAGAGTCAAACAGCATCTGATAAATTAGTAAGAACAGAGGGATGCATAAATATTACTGAATGGCAGAGTCACTGGTAGTAATGCAATCCAGTTTCTATTACATAACCCATTTTTCAATAACCTCTAAAACCCCTACACACAGATCTACAGGAGCTGAGAGCATGCAGGCAGCTTTCCCAAATAAAGCAGAAATTGCTGGCAAAGTTCACACTATGGTGTCTACCACTGTTACAGGTCTAAAACTGGAACAAGAGGTACTAAAATGAATTTTCTACTAAACCAACTGGCTTTTAATTTAACTCATACATAGCACTTTTATGTAACCTCTTCCTCCTGCAATCGCAATATTTGTAATATTTTTTTTGTATCAGGATTGACTTTCTTCTCTTCCTTATAAAATTTTATTACATCTTTCACTGGAAGATCATTAGTTTTATTTTCCTCTTTTGTGTCTTACAATAATGACCTTTCTTGCACCGTGAAGGGACAAAGCAAATACCTTCAGTCTACTTATAACTAATAATAAAGCCACTAGCTGTCCAAGAGGCAGACAGCCCTTGCTGGACTCTTTTGCCTTTCTGTAATGTTTTTTCTTGTAACTGAAACCATGGCATGGAAAACACCAAGAACACCGGAACATGCTGATCAGATCACCTGGAATCCAGCACTCTGGGGTTTGCTGCATAGCACAACTGAGTGTTCCGTGACTGTATAGACAGTGTCTTTGTATCCAGCACATTCTCCCCTTTAGGGTTAAAATCTACGGAAGGTAGACTAGGAGCTACTAAAGAATGCAGAATTACACCTTTCTTCTGCAATTATGTCTGAGCATCATCACTTTTACTTTGTTATTTCCTAAGTTCAGCAAAAATAAAATAATTGAGAAACACTGCTTTACTTAAAATTCCATAGAGATATTTTAATTTTAGTATTCCTCAGTATATTCCTTTTAGTAAATGACCGAAGGAAAGTTTTACCAAACATGCTACATGATAATCCAAAATATGCCTAATTTTAACTCCTCAGCAGTCACTTGGCTCAATTTCTACAAAAGTTGAATGAGAAATGGCTAAGCCAACACTTATCCAAAAAAACTCCTTTGCTACAATGATTCAGAAATGAATATGGGTCACCTGTATCATTCTGTTGTGGAAAAAAAAAATCACATTGAAGCATACAAATAGATGCATTAAGTAAGTCTGCAATACGTTAATAGTCAAAGGCTTCACCCAGGAGTTTCATTCAATTTTTGATTTTGCAATTCATGAGAAAGTGGATCACTACCAAGAATGGTAACATAGCTTTTAAGGAAAGCCTGAAAGACTTTTTTGTTTATCAAAAGATCATACTCTTCAAATATATAAGAAGAAATTACTAGAGAGAGAAGTAACAAATTCATTTGCTTCCAATAGAGTCAGAGTAATGGATTTATACTGCTGCACTGAAAATGAATGTTAGTCCTTTATAAAAAACTATCTACCTGGAAGGATAATTAAGCAATAAAACATACTGCCAATTGGAACAAGCAGTAGTATCTCCATCAGCACAGGCTTTTAGGAACAACTAGAATATTTTAGGTACGGCTCATCCTGTTGTGGAGCAAAAGGATGGACAAATGTTAAAGATCTTATTTTCTACAACTGCATAGATAGTCTTCATTATTAGTGAACATATCCAAAACTCGTAAAATAGATAGATGTGAACAAGTGGTTTTGGTTTTTGGGGGGGTTTTTGTTGTTTTTTTTTTTAAAGTGAAAAGTACCTTCAGAATATTCTTCCTTCAGAAATCCTTCCTTCTCTGTTCAATATAGTCTTTCAGAACTTATAGTTTATGGCACATTTTCTGATCTATGACTCATTCTGGGACTTGAATAGTTTAAGACTCTGAATTTTGACTTTACTATACTTATATGTTACTGTCAGTTTTCTAAATGGAAAATCTCAGATTCATCATGTAGGAACCCTGCCTTCGTTTATCATCCTTCCCATTCTGTACTTATACAACTGACACCAACATTTGAGCAGGACAGAAATTTTTAATTTAAAAAAGAAACCAAGTAAGCAAGTTGTTTATAAGATGCAGGAGGTGTTTGCTAGCTTTCACATATCTAAGCTTATCTGAATGCAATTCCAAGATAAAACCTCTCTCTCATTCATAGATCCTTACAGAGCAATTTTTTAATAGAAGGCAACTTTCAGAGATGTAAAGGCATGAGATATTACTCAGTTAGCACAGCTTTAGCAGTAGCAATAAAAAGGGAGCCTACACATTTTGAGCCCAATACAACTGGTGCTTAGCAACCCAAGGATTACCTTTCCACTGGTGCTCGTCGCCATTCAGATTCTGCCTCACCACCTCTTCTCCAAGAGCTTTCAGACTCCCTATCACCCCAACGAGACTCCTGTATGCCAGAAGAAATTAGGAACATGCTCTCTGAATACTTTAAAATGAAGATTCCCAACATATAATCGAGTCCTTTCAGCACATACCATGTCATTAAAAATTCACCTGTTACACTGTAGAGAATACTGAGCTATCAGGAGTTTGAATAACTTAAGTATGGTCTTAACTGATTATTGTTTCTGACAGAGTTTAAAAACAATATGGTCCCCTCTGCGACACATACTTTACTAACAGGGTAGGATACATGCAAATACACTAAAAAAAAATTATGAACAAGTATATGAACAATAGCTTGTGAGCCATAGCTACTCCCTGTTAATACAAAAATGATGTTTTAAGTTTCACTTTCCTGCTGCTTAATGACAGTAGGAACAAATTCAAAAAATTATTTGGCTTTGTGCTCTTTAATCAGATCAGAAAACATACTGAATAAACCAAATGCTTCCTGTAGCAGAGACCATTTTGTTCCAGGTTTATACAACACTTTACACGGTAGCTCAATGCACAGAACAAGTGAGGTATTTGTGATTCACGCAGGTTGCTCAGATGCGAGGCAAAGCAATAACCAGTATTTTTTTTTTAATAAAGGTAAAATGTCTCTCCCCATTGCTGGACAAAGACAAACCATTTTAACTATTTCTAACACAGTTGTTTACTCCGTAATTCATGGAAATTAGGTAAACCATACAAAAGATCTGATTTCACATACTCACACAACCTCTGGTTGTAAAGTGCTCTTTGAAAAGTGTTTTTATTAGTCAAAATCTACACTTCAATACTGGGAAATACACAGGTTGCGCAACGTCTCCCATATCCACTACTCCAGGAGTGTCTACTCAAATGTTTCTGACAACCTGCTTGTAGAAATGACCCCAACGAACAAGGGTGAGCAAAGAAAGAATGCCAAACCTGCAAATGCAATTTTTCAAGTGGTATCGTTATCTTTCTCAGAACCTGAGTCAGCTTTTCCATATCACCAAGTGCTCGCGGCTAGGAGTACCTCTTATGTGAAAAATACCAGTGATGAGAGTCTATCAGGTAAATAATCAAAACACTTTATACAAGCTCTGATTCACTTATCTTCAGAGTGTCACTCAATGAAGTATGCATTAAACAAAGACAATGGCTATGGTGGATGAAATTAAATACTAGTTCTCTTACTGATAAGCGCTGAAAAAGTGGGAGCATAGAAGGTTTGTGGTACTCATTTACATTTTTTTAAATCATTAAACATTTATTTGCAAATAACTTTTGCTTTGTTTCCTGTTGAATTGGGATAATAATTTTCCCCAACACTTAAATTTGTAAATGGGAAGTTGCACACACCTCTTGTTTCTATGTTTTACATTATGGCATATTTCTTATAAAATATAAAACTACACTTTTAGGTTTAGTCTGGGATTTTCCTTCAGTATCTACTCTAATTTCTGACTTTGGCATGAATCACTGTACTTGCTTCCAATATAGTTTTCCTCTTTTGTGTTAAAGAAAATTTAATTCAGTATTTATTTTAGTCTTTCTTTGTTTAGTCTTTGAACAGCTTGGAGATCTTAGTAATTTCTTTGTTTTACTTTATTACTAAATTACAGATACCAGATCCTGATAGTGAGCTGAAACTAAGTGACAGTCACTTAATTATTAGCCACTTACGCTACAACTTTAAAAAAAAAAAATATTAGCCTATGATTTTACAATACTACCATCTTCCTCCAAAAAATCTACAGGAGGAGCAGTCAAAAAGAAAACAAACTTCCAAGTATTTACCTACCTTTCTTGAAAATGGGTCATCCAGACCTCTCCTTTCTTCTTCCCGCCGACGACGCTCTCTTTCTTCTATCTCCATTTCTCTTTGACGTTTTTTCTTCTCTAATTCTTCTAGCTTTTTGAGATGTTCCTGGTATTCACGCTGTTGCTGCTCACGTTTCTCACGCTCAATGCGTTCCTTTTCCTCACGCTCTGCAGTTAGGAAAATAAATAGAACACTTAAGCAAAATAAATTCCATTACTTTGCTGTAGCCACATTAGGGTTACAAAATACAATCTCTCCCCTTTGACTCCTTAAAAAAAAAAGTAAGCAAGCATTTCACAGGATGTGTTTAACCATAGCATTAACCTGACATCCTGAACAACAGCTGTTAGTGAGGAAGGAAAGAAAATGTTCCAATACCCATCATACGTTTATTCGACGTACAGACCACAAATGTGCCAGCTACAATAATGGTAACTACCTCAAGCATGGTAGAGGATCCCTTTCTTAAAAAAGGTGAAACAAAAAAATCAGCTAGTAGTGTCAGAAACTTGATATTCAGGACTACTTGGGTTTTGTTGGTTTGATTTTTAAATGTTGCATGATTATGAGCTCCGACACATAAAATCTTCATCTGTCAAGTGACAAGTATGAAAGAAATTTACCTTACAGGATTCCTATCGCCTCTTCTCTTCTAAAGCCTTGAAAAAGGCTACCAGACAAAGCAATTCACAAAGAAACATGTGTGAGTCACTTACAATTCTTTAGTTCTTGACTTATCTCCTCCTCTATTCATGTCTGGGAGAAGGGGAGGCAGGAACTACTAATTAGCTTTCATTTTCCCTTCCTCCTATAAAGCTTTACTTTTGCCTCTATGCTGCATGTGTGAGCATTCAGAAGGTAAAATGTAAAGGCGCAGTATCTAGTAGCAACAGTCTCTTCACTGCTGACTGGACACGAAGAGACTTCCTCCAATATCGTGAAACAGGGAAACCAGAATTCAGCTGCGTACACATCTGGAATGGGTCAAGGATGCAAAAGATAAAATAATCATGTTCTCATTTATACCTTTAAGCAGCTGTTCTTCTCGTAATCTTTGCTCTTCTTCCTCCTTCTCTCTGTAATAAGTAATGCGTCTCTCTTCTTTGCGTTGTTTCTTACGTTCCTCCAAACGATTACGTCTCTCTTCTGCTAACCGTTCCTGGAACTGCTTGAGTTTATCCTGAAATACAAAGAATACATATAAAACCACCAGAACTGTAATGTTTAAAAGCTAGACAGTTACACAAATTGCTAAATAAATGCACAGAAACACAAACACACTGCAATGTATTAACTTTGCTCCACTGCAAAACAACTACCTGTTTGCCATTTCAACCTTTTCTGCAATAGATTTCATACAAGGGAATATACTCCTACTTAGAAGACAATCAGCATGCACAATTTTAGTCCTTCACCTGCTTCTTCAGGAAAGTAAATACATTACCTAAAATTGTTTCAAAGAATTATATACAGTTACTTAACATGTCAAAATACTTCCCCCCCCCCCCCCTTTTTTTTTTAACCAGTACTTACTGCAACATAGCCGAATAATCAAAGCTACAAATAGCCTCAGCAAATGTAGAATTTTAAAAATGTAGCCCAAGGAACAAAGGCACAGTTCTTTCCCTGCTCTCGTGGTCTAATTTGTTACTGAATTTTGCAAACATAAAACATAACTCGAAGTACCAAATATTTGGACTATCAAAATAATTTCCAGATTTACACAAAAGGTTTAAAAAAGCAATAGACACTTATTTCTATTTCTTGGCTTCAGTATTGTTCTCTGTATTATTCCATCACCACAGTAAGTCCAAGTACTTGTACAGATACAGATCTCATACTAATAGCTGTATTGAAATAAATAATTTAACCAGCTTTTAGATAACTCTTTTCCATATAAGCTATTCCACAAAAGTTGTCAAAAATCGTAAACAATAATACCTAAGAACGGGTGCAAGTTTGGGTTTTAGTTTTTTGGGGGGATTTTGTTAGTCAAAGCAGAAGATAAACAATTCCGTAATTCTGAGCCATTCTAGATACTAATTTGTTTCTAGTTTTCATGAAGAATCACTGGGTCATGAGTTTAGTTCCTTACTTTAGGGTAATATTTTATTAGAATACCATATCTCATGTACCTCATAAACTGTTCGGCGTGATGCTTTGAGCCTGGCTTCAAATAAATCTCTATCCTCCAACATCCTTGAGAGTCTGTTCTTATGCTCAAGGGCTTTCTCACGCTCCAACTGCAAAGTGGTGATCTAAAAAGAGATAATATAAAAAGTATTACAAAGTAAAATCTTACTATATATTTGTATTCAATCAACCTCAGCCACTAGGAACAGAAATTATCTTTTCCTCTTTCAGATCGAAGCCAGAAGAAACTGCTCTCCACTAGCACAATGGAATTGCAAAGTAAACACTTTATTCTTCATACCAACTACTTCTCTTTCTCCCTTGAATTAAGCTGGGAAAAAAAAAAAAAGACATTGCAATCCCACTGTTTTCCACTCATTGATAATGGATTTTATCACCTGAACAAAAAATTCTTACCCTTTCTTCTTCCTGTTGCTCCCACAGCTCCATATCATGCACTCTTTGCTCTTCATAGGCAGTCTTTATTAAAGGAATTTCTTCTAAGCGCTTCGCTCTTTCAAAATAGTCAATCTAAATGAAGATAACATACCTTTAGCATGTCACAATGCAAAGACCCAGTCTGGAAGACCCAGTCTTCAGCATCCCCCAAAGAAAACCCTGACATCTGAAGGCTTTTGCACAATATTGTTACATATATCGTTATGCAAGAGCAACCATGTTGGACCACATCAAAGGTCCACCTAACCAAGAACCTGCCTCTACCACTGCAACTAAACGCACTCCTAGGCAAGGATACCAGAATAGATGCAGGCATATATACAATACTCTTGAGCATCACTTGGCCTCGTCTTCTGTGAACATTTAATCTTCCCTGAATGTTTTCCAATTACAAGTCTACGCAACTAAGACTCAGTTCACATACAGCTTAAGGGTCCTTTCTCAAATCAAATCCACTAATTAGAACAGATTTGTGCACTGATACTAGAAACTCAGTTGTCTTTTAACACGTTTACCTTTTTTTAGTTTCATACAACATTTTCAACACCAATATTGTATGTGCATGTGTCTATAAATGTATCAATACAGTAGTTCACATTCACTAACTAAAGTGTTGTCTACCCGTGGTTTTGTGGCCTTTCTACTTTGTACCTTTTTTTCCTGATTCTTCAGACGTTCCTGGAGTTCTTTCTTTTCTTTTTCAAGCTGTTCAACTTGTTTAGCCATAATGAAGTCAGGATCCAATTCTTCAAGATCCTATAACCAAGTAAAGTTATCAGTAGAAAATAAAGCAAACATTTTTTTCTGTTATAAATGTGGTTTGTTTGTTTATTTATTTAAGCTTCTCTGCAGTTTTCCCCTTAACTTTTAAAGCAATTCGCTTCAGAAAAGTCCTCAGTTTCTTTTCCTCTCTTCTGGGTAACTCGTATTTTATTTTTCAAGCTCTCTAAAGGATTTGTATCTTGTTTCTAATTGAGACACAGTGCAGGTACTACAAAACGGGATCTGGAGGTTTATTCTGTATTTCAGATATTGTTTAACAATGGGGAAAAAAAAACAGCTGGACTTAATTCTTCCAGGTAAAAAAAGGTCCTATCCAAACTCAGTAGTAAAGTTTACTTACTGTCTGTCTCATTTTTAGGAGAGACTGTTTGTAAGACAGTATACAACTAGTAAGAACGTGAAATTCAGGCAGCCTAGCAAAGTAACACCAAAAGCAGAAAAAAATAACTCAAAACTTCAATAATAAATTTTCTACCTCAATATCAATATCTTTAAAAGCTTTGGCTCCCAGTTCAGTCTTCTTAATCTGCTCCAAGCGCTCACGAACAGTCTTCTTTTTGATTTGTTCATGCTCTTGCAGGATACGCTCCTTCTCTCTTTCCTTTGCCTCCTGGCGCAGCCTCTCTTCTTCAGCTTTCCGGACTTTTTGTAATTCTGCTTCACGTTGTTCCAGTTCTTCTTTTTCACGCTGAATGTTTAAACTTTCAAGGCGCTCTTTTCTTTCCTCTATAGTTTGACGACGTGCAAGAATACGCTGATGCTCCTTTCTTGAATTTTTTAGGAAGGCAGTGACTGCCAGCTGATGTTGTTCTTCCTTCTCTTGCTGAATTTAAATTAAGGATAAGACAATGATCTAAGTAGCATCTCTTTAAAAAGGCAGAAAGCATAGCAAATGCTTCTCAAAGAAAACTCAAGGTTAGTTTTATTCTCCAAGCTTGCCAACTGCACAGAAATACAACTGTAATGGCAAATCTAATCACTCATCCAAGTGGCATAATAAGGTAGTATCAACTGACTAGAACCACATGCAAATGGAGAAAGTAGTCTGTATCGGACAATATTCTGCAACACATCTTAGGTATGGTATTTTCACACTTCTTCCTGTCCAAAAATATTGTACACCCATATGTTAGTGACATTTAAGACTCTAACTGAAAGGAGGGGCGTGGGGGGGGGGGGGCAATTGTTTGTCTCTGCATATGTTAGCAAGTATACCACCACATGTACTGTACTTCACCAAAGCTCCCTTGTTTTTACGGTTTGGGGTTTTTCCAAACACACTAACTTAAGAGAAAAATACCCTAACGAACACAAAGCACTATCTGTGAAATGATAAAAAACTCACGAGTCAACAATTTAGGTATAAACACTGTATATAAAACCATTTTCACTAAATTATAAAAAGCACTAGACTTCTAGACACTAGCATATAAGACTATTCTTTAAGCAGCCTTCTCACCCCCCCACCATTCTCCTCCAGAGTACCTATACTGTTATTTGTAGAGATTCATGCTGTACACATGCAGAGGTGTAATTGGGCCAGCTCAGGGAGCTGCCCATTTTAATCAGTCCAGCAAGCAGCAAAACACTGCAGCCTGACCAGCTCACTACTCCCTCAGTCATGCTGCTCTTGAAATGTGAGCTAGCTCAGAGGTATTTTTAGTAACCTGACACTTAAAGGGCATTCAACAAAAACATTAAAACATCCATACTTTTGTTGCATATCTGCAAGCATTTAAATGGAGGTGCCAGAAACACAGAAACAAAAAGCTTTAGATGAATTTAACGATTTTGTGAATTACAACAAATGACAGCATTTTGAAAGTTTTTAAGCACCTGGAAAAAGTGAAAAGTTTTGATCTGAATAGTGAAGGACAAAAGGATATCAACTTGTTCTGTAGCTTCCCTAACCACACAGATTGGTATTAACCTTGATACTGTACTCCAATTTTACAAGCATAATTACTAGCATTTATGTCTTATTTCAGCCAATTGTACTAACACATCACAGATAAGACTGTTTGTAATTTCTATCTAGGAATGTACAGATAAAGCATGTTTTTTCTTTCAAAGCGAAAATCCATCTAATACCAGTCACTAATAAAATCTGTTTAGGTGAAAACCTACATGGAAATATTTTTATCTTAAATGCTATAAGCCAGCTAATATATGTCCAAGCTAACATAAGTAAGCTAGCATTAGGTGTCATGATACAGTCCTACTTTGTGTGTTTATATTTTAAGAATATTACTTAGTATTTCAACCCAGATAAAGAATCTAACATGGACATCTTGCCATCAGCCTTTTTTCCATATGGAAAAATTATTTTGTATGTTTGCTATGAAATCTTTCATAAGCAACATAAAGCAAAATAAAAAATACCACTGCGCTTTTAAGAGAAGTGAAGGTTTAGCTTGCCACAACCAAAGCATGTTGGAAATCCAAGAATGATTTACACCTTGCTCCAAAGGGCTCTGGAGAACCTGAAATGTGAGCTCATCAGTGAGTCCAACCTTGAAGCCAACAGCCCCAGTGAGGACAGGGAGTGACAAGGACAGGTCAGTTCTTGAGTTGTAGGATCTTTTGTTCATGTTTTTAGATACCACTATGAAGTTACATTCCAGGTTCTTCACAACAGCAGTTTCTCCAAGAATAAAGCAAGCAGGCTCTTGGATCTTCAAAAATGCATGCAAAATTTTAAACAAATCCTAGCTCTGTAGATACATCTATGGGGAAATTATTACCAGGTATATCCTAAACCTGATATATGCAAGACTGGCAATATAAACTCAGGCCTTTTGTGTACATCTTGACATGATTTTAGTTACAACCGAACACTAACTAGTTGAATGCATTTAAGAATTACTTATTCTTCTTCACAAGCACAAATAGCTGACTACCACCAGACCGAAAAAAAATGAAACTAAAAGGTACATCTAATCTGAGAAAACACATTCATTAAAATATAAGCTTTGGCATAAAGTGTTATTAGCTTATGTTTCTACTTAATCCACAAGTATAAAATGCAGCCCCCACCATTACTGTCAAATTAGATCAGAGATCATTACCACAATGCTCTGAAAAACAGAGCAACACACTTCTGAAAAGAAGCAAATGTAGAAAAGCACCAATCACTACCTACTCAAATCCTTGCAATGTCATGTGAAATGAATCATTAGATAGCTCAGTGCCTTTCCTATGTCAAAGAAAGGGAAACCAAATAACTCATTGGTATAATATTCAAGTATGATCTCATAACTTCAAAACAAGCTTGTCTTGCTAAACCAGAAAAATTACATTAGAACAGGTGAGTATGTAACAGATGTAGAGCATACTTTGTCATTAATAAATATATTAATGCTACACCACATTTGTATATATTATCAGTTATTTGTTCTGAAGGGAGGGGACAGCAGTAACAATATTGATTACCATTGCACTGAAAATAGTTTACTGTAGTGAGCAGTTGATCAGGCAAGCAAAAAACCAACAAAAGGCTGCATAAGGGCAATAGATAAACATCACACAATGTTGGTTTTTCTTATCAACATTTTCAGAAGGCTTAAAATGACTTACCAGCAAGTGAGGAGGCTTAATGACTGCAAGAGCCTTAGCCAGAGCTGAGGACATAGCAGTCAGCTGATTTCTAATTTGCTCAGAAGGCATGCTTTGTAGTTGAGGGCCTAGTGGAGCATCTTCTCTAGTACTGTAATTCAAATCTGAGCCAAAACTCAGTGTCCGGGTAGTATGATCAAGGCGAACCTTTTGGGGAGGGGGAAAAAAAAAAAAAAAAAAAAAAAAAAAAAAGCTTGTATTATTTATTGCTTTTAAATAATTTCTGTGTTGCTCTGCCTATGACAAATATGAGTGAACAAAAGCTCTAAGCAGAAAATACATTAAAAAAAAGTTTTAGCTATACCAGACTAAGAGAAGTGCCAAATTAGTAGAAGAAAAATGGCACTCTAATTAAAATTTTGTTTCATTTCCATAGTTTATTAAAAAAAAAAAATCATCACTGGAAGAGGCTGAACTTTCAATCATTCTAGGAAATGAGCACTGCAAGACAAATCATTCTTGCCTCTTCCTCCACATTAGCAATACGAGAAACAAGAATCCTGACTTTAATGCAGACAATTTCATCACATCTAAAATACAAGCTGAAGTTGTGTGTTAACCTAAATGCATTAACTCAGCATTATCTAAAAACCTAAATGGATAATTACTAAGCAATCTCAACTAAAAACCTAAATGGATAATTACTAAGCAAAGCAATCTTAACGAAAAACTATTCATATCTCATCACCAGCTTAAACACTTCATTACAGGCTGTCGTTCAGTCAATACAGACAACTTTACTGACAGTGCAACCTTCAGCAGCAGCTGAAACATCTCAAGACATTGGTGCACATCTCAGACACTGGTGTTTTACTTCAATCACTTGATTAGACAAAACCCAACAACAGTGACTGCCAGCTCTTCAGTCTTGCACAAGTTCAGCATAGTCAGAAATTTGCATCCCTGTTTATTGTACTTGCTTCAGGATATCCTGGACTAAATGACGGGCTCACAGGGCAAGTTTCAGCAAATTTCATTTCAAGTCTTATTTCTACTGGACTTACATTAATAGTTGACCCAAATCAAAAATATACACCAGAATGCAAATAACCATCAGTTCTTAATATATTGTCACGTGCATTGTTTACTCTAGTTTATCTCCACCTATCAGAATCCATTGTCTTCCCCGGGTTCAATGTCAACCAGGTAAGTATTCATCCAATGTAATACACATTCATACATCATTTCACAGAAGTCTTTTTACAGCACTTACTTGTAAGTCACAATGTCTGGCTGCATCAACGATACTACGTTCCAGCTGGAAAGCATCAACAAAAGGAACCAGAGTAGCCAGGCGAGAAAATTCAATGCTTTGATAAATCTGGGCCACCTGTATGTGAACAGAAACATTAGGTATTTTTCCCCATTAGAGAGAGATCAGAAATAAAAGTTGTTGTACAGGCTCTAAAGCCAACTTACTAAATCGTCAATAAATTAATGTATAGATATTAATACAATTACAAATACTCTTTCAGGATTTTATTTCTGTACTGTATTCAAACTCAACTTAAGATTCAGTGCCGTTCCTTAATGGCTTCTTTGTATGAAGGAGACTGGCAGCAGTAACTACATAGAGCTATGCTGCTAATTAGCCTTCAACTATTTCTTTAGCACATCAGAAATAACACTGCTCATCACTTGTAATGAAAGCAGGTCAATGAAATGTGCATTTTATAAAACATCTAGACACAAAAAAAACTCCAAATCAAAATATCCCCAAAAAAAGTTTTAAGAAATTATGAATTACCTTAAGACATCATAGATCTGTAATGAAGAAAATCTAGGCAAGAGATTATGCCCACTGTATGAAACCACTATTAAGTATAGCTATACTATGGCTGTACCTAAATTATGTCCAAACCTGAAGATATAGCTTATGTACTGGAAAAAAAGTATTTCAAAATCATAATGTTCTTCTATTTGATGGAAAAAAATTACTTCAGAATGGAAGTTTCCAACTTAATGTTCTTCCAAAGCATTTTCTAACTTATGTATACATTTTCTTTACTCATACCTGCTGCAAAAGGCGAAGAATGGTATTGTTTTGCAAGTGAGGAACATACAGCTGCAGCTCAGGTTCCTTTTCAGCTTGATCTTTCACCCAGTTCAGAACCTATCAAAATTTTGAAAAGTTACTCCATCTGCATCAATCCTTAAAAACTTCAACATTAAAGTACAAAGTATGGTTCTTAAGTAGTTCTAGTTCATGGAACAGCACTTCTGTCCAGATATTACATTGTTTTACTGAAGCGTATCTTTTGATCAGAACACTTTTATTTATAACAGATAGCTAACATTTTTTGTATGAAGGCGACTGACAGTACTGGCAACATTTACCACACTGCTAATTTACCTTCAAGTTCTTTTTAGCACCTCAAATATCTTTGTTCCCACTATCAAAGAAAAAGAACATGATGTGCTTCATCAACTGCAGAATTCACATTAACCTAATCAACAGCTCTCACACTGTTTTACCTCCCAATACCCTACCATTTTAATAGTAAAAAGTCATTGGTCTATTTTTCCACTTCCCACACAACCCACTTGCTTGCATATGCACGTATGCGCACATGCAGTTTTTTCATTTCTGCATCTTTAACAAAATTAAACGTAGTATCACCTCCACCAACAAGACCTTCTGAGACGTTCCCAAAACTCTGCACCTTTATAGGGGCACTCTGAACAGCACCCTAGAGACCTGAATGAATTTTCATTCTATTTCTATAATCTGGTGTACTATGTGTATCAGATATTACGTACAGGTCACTGTATTGGAATGTGACCAAATAAAGCCCACCACTGAAAATTCTGGAAATAGATAAAGCTAGTTGGTGTTTACCACAAAACAATATTCAAATAACAGATTATTAGACAAGAGCAATCACTATATATACAGAGCTCAAAACTTACCTTGCTGACACGGCTACATAACTTGAGCGGGTGAAAGTCTACTTCAAGCCAATTGTAAAGTTCTTTCACTTCAGGAACAACATATTGCACTACGTTGAACCTTACCTACACAGTCAACAAAAAAATCCAAAGATCTCAAAATAAATACAATATTAACAAATAGCTATGCTTTAAGAATTTTATATTCAAGTTCAGTAGGCACATGTACCTTTTAATATAGGAGACTCTTTTTTATTACAGCATTCTTAATTACAGTGAAAATAACTCTACGCTACACCACTTAACTGAATTTAAAAAAGGAAAAGTAGACATAAAACACAAACAAGATGTTTAGACTAGAGTACCACCCTCAACTTATTAGATATTTCTAAGACAAGCCCTACTACACAGATGTAGGCCTGCATCCAAACTAAAACCGCACATCGCAGTTCATGAGTAAGCTTCTGAAGCTTTGAACTGTGGTTTTAAGGCAAACTGGAGAGCTACCAGAGAAGAATTAATGCAAATTGCAAAACGAACCTTGAATGTAAATTTTAGGCATGCATGCAAGTGACTGCAAGAAATTCAAACATCCTCTCAAAATACCTAACTATGATTGAATGCCTAATTTGTTTATGAATATCTGAGAAGGTCTGAAGGCAGATAAATCTAGCCCCCCTTCAAATAAAATACAAGGAAGTTTTCATAACCACTTAGGTCGTTACGGTCCACTATTTGATATCTGACCTGCACTTATCCAAAATACATTTAAAACAGGAAAATATGCACTTGGTTTAGTTAATTACACACCTTAGAGTAGGGAAAAATCCCCAAAGTTCTACCTCACAACCTTTTTCAGACCCCTCAGAGTTTCAAAACAACATTTGTTGCTTGGGTGACATAAAGGACAATATTGAACCTGACTTTTTACTGCACAGAAGCATTCAGGCCAATATTGCTGCCATTTCCAAACAGTCCTTGCGAATCTGCAATTTTAACACTATACCATGTCATACAATTAACCACAGATGTTTTAACTTTTTAAACTGTTGTCCCATAACTAAGCACAGTGCTCTAGAAGGAAAACAGTCTAAAAAGAGGACTTGGTGTTTAAAAGCTGCTCATCTGAGCCCTACTTCCTACCATATCATTAATGAGGCTGCCACGTGTAGGGGGCGCCTGGAGACCCAACAGGGTTGCCAGACGTCGCTGCTTCTCAACAATGATGCCATCCATATCCAGAAGGCGAGCAATATCGGTTCTCTCAGGAGTTATAGGAATTGACAGAGTGGCCAAAAGGACTCGAGTAGACATCCTGTTGACAAAGTATAACCGCAAAAGATGAACTGCAAGAGGACGCTAATTAATTCCTTTTCATATATGTGCCAATTCAAGAGTAAGAACAAGCAGCGTTTATGATGCAAAACTGTGTAAAAATACCAGTAATAATAGAAAATATGCCAACTGCGCAATAAGAGTACAGAATGCAGGGTTCTTCAGTAACCAGGGGAAAGATTTTGGTACCATCTTTTCCTTATTTACATACGTGTGTATATACATATATATATACACACACACACACAGAAATGATAAATTTAAGCCACCTCTGTAAATATCAAAATACTATAAGCTAATGAAAGCAGCAGAAAGCAGCACCTTTAAAATTTTATTTTAGCTGCAAATCCATACTGGTCATTTTGATTGCACTGATTGTTTTAAATTTACTGTGCAAGCCAGATGTACCTTTTGAGGTAACAATACAAATGACGTTAAATTCTGACCTTAGTACTCAGACAAAAAGAACTATAGGAATTCCCACAGAGTATTTATCCCTACCAGATTCTGATTCTATAAAGGCCTGTACATGGACTTCAGAGGTTAATGCAGTCAATGATTCTGCATGCCTCAAAAGCCTTGCCAGCATCATACTTGTTACCAAAAAATTAAAGGCCATTTGGCTATACAGACTTACATATTAAGGAAAAGTTTATACTAGTTATAATGGAATCTTGTGAAGTAAATACCACCACTCAGAAGAGAAAAAGGAAGCAAAAGACAGAGACTTATTAACTTGCTTAGCTTCCCCGTCAGTAACAGAGAAGGTGATCCTGACGTTTACATTATTTACACTGTACCTTTGAAAAATACAGGTTTCTTTTGAGGCAATTACTACTGGCCACTTTAAGCAGAGCTTCTTATAGCCATACATGCCCTCTGCTGCTTTTGGGGTACAACTTTATTTTTAAACCTATGGCATTAAAAATGGAATCTAAGATCACACTAAATGTCTTTCCCCACCTCTGCATCTCCTCTTGTGTGAGATTCTTTCGCATTTCTCTCGATAAGTGATAAAGTCGGTGAAGTGTGGATGCATGAAAAAGAGCATTTCCTGATTTCCAGAAGACAGTTGAAACTTTGTGATAGTAATTTGCCATCAGTTGTGGTTTGGGTGGTTTCTTAGACAGTGCAAATAGTCCATGAATATCCTCCACTGCTTTGAAAGCTTCCTAAAAAAACCAAATAACTACTTTCAGGAAGTTTTTTCAACACCCAAAAAAGGGAAAAATACACATTCAATAAACGTTATAAGACTGTAATATATTTAATACCACTGAAAGCTGTGATCTTCAGTTTCACCAGCTACATGAAATGAAAAACTTCTTTCTTAATAAAGAAATTATTTGCACATACTGCAAATCCATTAACTATCTGCTTAGAATTTGGTAGTTAACGATAGTTTGTGTATTTTTTGAAAACTGGTTTCTTTCAGTTTTTCAAGATACAAACCAAGGGGAAAAAAACCCAAACACATACAGAATAACAACAATTCTACTATTTTACTATTATACCAATTCTACTAATTACTTTTTTTACCATTTTTCGTAATTTTTGTGATCAAAAATTGGTGTAGTTTCCCTAAAAATATATATAGTCTTGGAAATGCCTTACATGTAATTACCTAAAAATGAAACAACACAGAGAACTTTCCCCAAATCCACAAAGCAAAAAATTACAACCTCGGCTTTTTAAGGAAATTAACATTAGAAAGGTTGGGAAAAGCAGAGAACCTCTTTAAAAGATTTGCTTTGATAGTGCCCTCTGGCTAGACACTAACATAATTCAACCAGCCACGCTGAGACCCCAGCATAATAGCAGGCTTTAGCGTTTACCAACAACTTCCCAGTGATCTAGTTCATGAGAACACAAGACTGCAGAGGTGAAGGTGTCATCGTCAACTTCTCATTTTCACAACTCAAAACGGCTTCAGCCACTTTACCAGCTTGGTTTGAAATGCTATGCGAAAAGAGCAATCCCAGGAACATCAGACTAAGTATTCATTATGCACATAGTACCACATTCTAGATATTAAAACTTTATTCTTCAGCTATTATCCTGTCTTTACCTTGCAGTATATACCATGAAACATGATCTGCGTGGAACAGATTCTGGAAAGGCTGGAGACTACAGTGTGGCTACTACAGAGCCCTGCTGCATACCTGCCACAGCTCCATGCTAATAGCACTGTCCAGCTGCACAAGTCTGGTCTCCAAGTGCATTGACTGACTGTCAGGATTGTTGAGGTTGATTGCTGTGCTTTGGTTATGATGACGCTGAATCTGCCCCAAATGCATTCGCAGGTTATCACAGAGTTTGCGGAACTCAGCTTTACGCGTGTACTGCAGGCAGAACTTAAAAGCTGCAAAAATGAATAATATAAATTAAGAATGCTCACTAATGGCGATTCCACAGTAGTTCTAAATGGGATTCAAATATCAGCGCATTTAAAGAATCTTCACTGACAGTCTGAAGACATATCAAAGAAGATGCAATCTAACTGTCACATGTAATGAGTAAGTGACAATGCAGAGCACTTCCATCTTGACATCAAAAAATGAAGATGCTTCTACATAAGTAAGCTTAAGGAGCTTATTATTAAGGAGTACTCTGACTCTCTTTAAAAATGTTCTAATTTAAGCAGTGATTCTAGCTCTTATTTTGAACCAAGTGCAAATAAAATTCTGTGAATGGCATGAATTGAGGTTTTGGCTTTGTAAAATGTGGGAAAAAATTCTCTAGTCATCTAAATATGGTAAAGTTAAATGAAGCTTTCAACTGACTGAAAATGACACAGAAGAAAATTTGTCTTTGATCCCGTAGTTCTTTTTGCTTTGCCACTGTCACTCTGAAAATTCTAAAGTATCTCTACCAGAAACGGGCAAAAAAGGAAGTCTTGACACTGTAGCACAAACACTTAAATACACTGAAGTGCCTAGAACTCATCTGATGTTCATCTATCCTACTGTAATTGTACAGTTTGAATCTACGGTTAAAAATCTAATGGACTTTTTTTTCAAAAATACAGAACCCTAAGTTATACACACAAAGGAAAACATTTTTTCACTCATCTCTCACCCTTAAGATTAACATGCAAGTATTCAGTCTTATAAATTCATTTTTTGCAGAATGCCAGAAAGAATCAGACCAGACTTTTTCCTATTACCTTCAACATAATATTTTGCTCAATTACGTCTCTGTCAAAATTGATAGCGCACCATAATTTTACAGTACCCTTTTGTGTACACTAGTTTTTGAAGTCAGCTGACATAGCATACATTAATGGAAGACACATTTGCCATTCTCGGTAACAAAGCAAAAATATGACTAATTTTTATCAGTAAGTTAGAAAAAATAAAGGCACAGCACCAGTAACTCTCATGTTCTCAGTATGTCCAGGCAAAAAAATTTTCCTGGCAGGTTCTGTTACAAGAAAAGATCAGTGGCCAGAAACCTCAGTAATTTTAAGGAACCTCTGTAATTTTAAGAACAGTATGTGTGTACACACATATGCTTAAGAGATTAACATCTTTCCAACTCTGAAGCAATATCCAAATAGAAATAACCTTTAATTTTCTAGTTTCACAGCCTGTAATATACAGGTCCTAAATCTCATTATACTTCCTTTTTTTTTTTTTACTTACCTTGCTGTGCAATATCATGGTACAGGCGTTCCACTCGAGAATTATTTCGGAGAAGATCCAAACATTGCCTGTACGATTCCCATAGAAATTTAACCCAGGGTGTCAGAAGCAGTCGGTCAGTACGATCCTGAGTGTCTTCTCCACTTACAGCACTCAACAGAACACTACAGTCAGGGCAGGGGGGTAAGGGGGGGGGGGAAAAAATGTTTTATTCCCCACAATTCTCACCAATTTTTCTTATCAAGATCTAAGATGAGACTGGATGAATCTGAACAGCTAATTGCTGCTGAACAGCCTATTCCTGATTTTCAAACTGGTCCCTCAGACTTCTCCCTTTTCCTTTAAAGGCTGTAGATAACTTTTCTTGCTGTTAAGTTTCAAACTTTGTCCCCTGCATATCTGACTGACATGTACAAGCTCTAGAGGCCAAAGACATCAGGAGCTTTTGTATCCTTCACATGAGGAAGCCAAAGAAAACTAATTCCAGGATTTTCACCTTCCCTCTTCTACCAAGGAGCTGCGCTCTGTACCTCCGTTAGGATTCAAATATCACTGTCTACTCAGATACTTTCCTGCTTGCTGAAACTTCCTTTTTAGTCACCAGCAACGCTGCCACAGAGAGCTCACTTCTTGTTGACAGATGACACAGAAGCCTTACCGTCTGCAGACACTGAAAACTAGAATACTTATAATGAAGTATCAAATCCTTTAACAATTCTGACATGAAAAACATGGTTAAAGATGTCAGAGATGTAAGATACGATAATCTTTCATTTAGGGGGCCATAACTGCATTCCCTCATTCACAAATACAAGATTGGAAAGGATTCCCGAGTCACTGAGACAAATTCAGTGCTATGGCCCACGTGATCCCTTTCTGTTAAACAGCCCCACCAGCATGACAAACTTAGAATCATCTTCCCTAAGCCTTCATTTTTAAAACCTTTTTGAACTATGCTTCTAATATAAACTCTCAACTCTTGTAACTCTCTTCTACTAGAGTGCTTCCAGATCTAATTTATTTCTTTGAGCGCTAGTACTACATAACTAAAGATGACATTCACCAGTGCCTTCTCCAACAGATCAAGCAGTGAATCCAGCTAAAAGTACGAGAAGTCCAGAAAACAGGACCTAAGAAACACTGAAGAAACTGCGGTTGTTCAGATGAAGAAGTGTGACTGACAAGACACGTTTTTGAGTCCTCAGTTACATAAAAGAAAACAAGGAAAACAGCAGTCAGCCAATCTTCAGTGTCCCTAACTATTAGTAGGACTCCTCTGTAACAAAGACCAATAGCTGAAAAAGGAATGGAAATAACAAGAATGGCACCACCATCCTGGAACAACTACTGAAGACAGGTCTGTCTGTTTTTTGAAACCAATGAGTTCCCAACTTCTACCAGAGAGCCTTGCTGTTCACATGTACATCCACAGCCTTCTACTCAATGTCTCTGTGAGGTTGACTACTACAACTCTATTCCCCAGAGTCACCTAGACAAGACAAAATGTCCTCTACTTTGATAATTTCTTCCAATAACATGAAGAGAAAGCTGACTTTTCCATTCACCTCAGACAGGGAAACTTCCATGCTCTAAAAACCTATCTCTTTTACTCCAGAACCAATCTTCTTACAAAAATCAGTAGCAAAGTTTTGCCTAATCTTCAGGCCACACCTAGCATGGCTAATCTCAACCCACCTCCTCAGCATTTTACCACTTCTTTTTTTTTTTACCATTTACCATAACTCTTCCTAGAATTCTCAATTTATGGCTGAAGATCCTTTTGTTATTCCTTTTAATATCTTCTGCAAGTTCTAATTTGGTTTGACCTACAGAGGTTTTAATTTATTCCCCACAATTCTTTTTTTTAAAGGATATGGACAGACAGCCTCTTCCAAACTCAGCTGGAATAGTTTAAAACATTTCTTCACCCCCACCTTGTCACTCCTCTTCTGCAGATTGTACCACGTACTATCAGAGTTAACGTGAGCATTCCCTAAATCAAGAGATTCATCTGAAGAACATAAATATGCAAATGGAGCTAACCTCACTTTGCCTGAACCAGATTAGGATGTTCTCTCACAAACCGTTCTGACAGCAGAATATTGACTTCTCGCAGAACTGGAGAGTGGTTTCATCCTAATCTAGCACACCTTGCTTAAGCAAGGTCTAAGTGAAGCAATATACTTTCTGAACCTTTTTTCCATTCCTTCTACATTCTCATTATCTATCTGATTAATTATATTACACTGAATTTACTTTTTAAGCCCTTTATTCTAATATCTCACCAGTTACCCGAGCAATTATAAAGTAACATTACCTTTTGTTTGTACTGCACAATGTGGTCAGAAAGACTGGAGGTTACCACATACAGGAATTAAATTGGCCTAGTATAATTAATAGCATTTGTACATCAACTGATAATGAGCGGCTCTCAATAATAAACTCTCCAAAATCATTACAGATGCAGATCTTAGTAGACCCTAGAAAGCAGTGTCCTGACTCCCAGAACCGCTCCTACTATATCTCCATTTTCTATTCTTTACTACATACTTTCTTTACTTTTCTTTACTCGGACTTAGGATTTTGCTCAATGCGAAATACTGTTCCTATTTTATTTTCCTACCTTTAGAAGCTCTCAACACCACTAGTATTCCATTTCAAATCCACCATCTTTATATCTCAGTTCTCTGAATTGCCAATATCCTTCATGAAAATAAGGATACTTTGCTGTGAAGTGCTACATTTTTAAGACAGGCCGCCTACCTTTCTGGAGTTTGAATATTATCTAAATCTTCTATGTCCAGTACCATCTGCTGTGATTCTTCCTTAGCTGCTTCTGTTTTTTCTTCAGCTAATTTTAAATAGGCTCGAACAACATCTTCCAAAGATTTGATGTTTACCTACATCAAAGGCAGAAAATGGGAAGATATTTCCACCCACAATAGGCAGCAAATATTTAAGATGTACACACTACAAAATCAAGAACATCTGAAAGGAAGATTAAATTCTAACTCAAGACCAATCAGTTACTATGAGATCATATCAACTGACATATACTATGCTTACTACAAATAAAAAAAGAGAAAAAAAATTCAAAAGCCATACCTGCTGGCAAATATTCTTGTACTGGTATAGTCCTTCTTTTGCCAGATGACTCTTGCGGAGATCCACACAGAGTTCCAGGTACTTCAACATAATTGGCTCGTGGATTTTCTGCCATGTTCGGTGTTTTTTACTTTTCATAACATCATAGAGAACATCAAGGGCAGGCTGCTTTTTGCCAACCTCAAGGAATTCTGAAAGTAAAATCCAATTAGCAAAAGACTTGCAACCCAGAAGATGTATGTTTTTATGCTTAACACTGTGAACTTTTAGAATTTAATCAACTCTAACCAATGTTCATTGATGATTTGATTTAGCTGGCCCTTTGAAAAATGTTGGCAGATGCAACTGCAGTGGCAATCTTTCAATAACGTAACTGGCAAATGAATGCAGACCTCTCCATTAACATGAAAATTTCAGGATGGCAGAGATGCCTCTCCATTCATCAAGGCATGACTGGGTGCTTCATACATCTTAATAAAATATAGACATCCAGATTTAGAGCTAATTTCCTCAAGCAGGACAATGAATACACACTATGAGGCTCGTACTAGAGCACCTACCAATGTCATTCAACAAGATGTAAACCATCCAGTGAATTTGACTTACAAGAAGTCCTGCCCTCAAGCTGAGAAAGAAAGAAACTTAAACTCAGAAAAGCTGTTTGGATTTTATTTTTTTTTAAACTCAGAGTGGCCTAGAGATTCAGTTTACAGAACAGTTACACTAGAAGCTGCTACAGTCTGACTGAAGGGTCAGACATTTTTTAAACCAGCCTTGCTGCTGAAACCAGTGTCATATTTATTCACTCCCCAGGCAGCTGCTGTTACTAACAGGATCTCACAGCATCACAGCAGCTCCCATCTATGATGTACCACATGTTCTGCTCAGTACAAAATACAGCAAAACACCCACAAGCAAATACTGAAGCAGCACTGCCAATGGCCAGCTACCAGCATGCGCACAGGTAGTAAAGGCACTCTTAACGGCAGAAAAGCAAGACAAAAGAACATTGAGAATGGGAAGCAAACAGGTTTAAAAAATAGAAAGCAGCTGAGCACAGCTAAAAGGAAATGTGTGTATTCTTAAAGGATGAGGGGTGGAGTCAGTACTTCCCATGAAGTACTTTGGCTAAAAGACCTATTTTGAAAGTAGCAGGGCCGTTTTAATTTAAGGACCACAATAGCACACATTCTGGGTTTAGTTTCTGTAAATAATGAGCTTGTGTAAGATAAGTTACTTTAAATACAACAGCATGATTTTTCTATAAAGATAATTAAGGTTACAATGTGACAGTATTCAGCACTTTTATTTTTACTCACAGAGGGAATTTTAATAAAGCTATCCTCTATCCCATAATTTACACTGTTATTCTATCTCAGTGCTGCTTTTGAGGCAATTACATTTTTTTATTTATGAACATAAACTTGAAAAGCAAGTTTAATCTTGCAACAACACCATGCCATTCCAACCACAATCCTCAGTGGTCAATAATCAACTGGACAAAGCACAAAATTAATTTATATTGTTTTGAAACTTTTAATTAATTCTGGTTAAGCAAGTTCTTACCAGCAAGTCAAATAATTAAGGCTACTTTAATAGACACTGTAGTAAAAGCACACACAAAGTGAACCTGAAGAGTCAAACGCAGCAAGCACCACCATGCCTTGCAGTAGAAACTGTAAGTTACGGTAACAAAGATTTGTAACAGACAAAACATAAAGCCTTAGCCCCTGAATAGCTGTCAGAATTACATTTTTTTTCCATTTTTTTTCCTGTTATACCACTTAAAACACTAAAAGGTATCCAAAACAGAAACTGAAGCTCTGAGAGTACGTGAACTAGCTGATACACACTGACAACTAATCTACTGCTAACCCAAAATCCCAAATTAAGCTAAATTTTCAGAGAAAATGTACGCCATTACTGAAGGTGACAAAGATGTCATGCGTTATCCAATCTCTCTTATAGAAAGGAAACCAAATATTTGCAACAATAAAAACATCCCCAAAAGCTGCATTACATCCTTGACTGCAAAGCAATGCCAGATATTAACAATAGCTAATGACCTACATTTATCAATTATAAGGAAAACCAGCCTTTCTTATGTATCTGTATATATTTACAATCATTCGAGCTCTTCTTATTTCCAAACATCTTCTATGTATGTTGAGGTCACCGAGAACCTGAAGCATAAAGTGCTCCTTACGCACTTAAGCCTTAGGTATAAAACACGAACACTGAAACTCTGGAAACTGCACTAAACGTTCCAATTTGAAACTTCAGTTCAACATTAAACTGCTTCCTGCAACATACAACCTGCCTTGGGTGCAACTTCTCACCCTTTATTATACTTGGGACATGGTGAGATTGAGCCCGTGCAATCTGCAAGACTTGACATTGCTTGTTATGTCTTCCGTTCAGTCTGCCAAGACTCGGGATTGCTAGCATTCTAACTAGAGAACGCTCCCTTCAGTTCTAATCCTTCAGTTCAACTCTACTCCTTCAGTTCATTAGAATTTAGTAGGCTTTAAAGTTGCTCTTTAATACCAGGAAAGTAACAATAAAACGTCAGATTTAAAGTTTAAGAATATTCCAGCAATGTGACTTGCTCACTAAGTAGAACTTACTCTACCCAAGAATTCTGAAGTTTGGCGTTTATATACTATGGTATGTGCATCTTTCCCAGGAAAAAGACTGCTAAAATACAACTTCATCTTTGGAAGTTGACTGAAGCTGATTTTATCTTTCAACTTTTTATCTTTGGGGAATGATTTTTATAATTAATTTATTATAGATTAGAAATCTTGAGGATGTGTGGTACTTTATTTAAAGTGTATAGACCCCACACTATGTCGCCCCTTAAGCTGTCATTTCAAGACCCATTCATCATCTGTCATGTTTGGATGTCTTTTAAGTGTCATCCGGCAATCAGCCCTGTCTAGGGTCTTGCTTAAAAGGGTCTAAATGGTCTTGCTTAAAAATAGGATACTATAAAAAAAAGAAGCATCAAAGCCATATATTTAGCCTGAAAAGAGACAGACGATAAATATAACCAGCCCGGCTTATATGAGGCAGTCAGCAAGAGACAGCTACAGCATGGTCCTCCTTGGTTTCTGCTCCAGAAATAACTTATGCATCAACCTGTGCAACATTTCATAAGTTTAATCATTTGCATTCTCACCAGAGTCACATGGAGGCTGGGACTACTAAATACGAAGGCCACATGGAAAAACAGAGCGCGGAATCAGACCGGTTTTGAAACCACCCGGGTGCGAGATCCGGGCTGGATACCTCACACCAAGTCCCCGGCCAGCGGGAGCCCCT